ATGTCCTCTCTTCTGCGATTCGCTGTACCAAACAACAGTTTATTAATTTAATTTGCGGTTTCATTATGGCATTTTATAGGTTTTAAATTAGTCGGCATTTTGAGGGGTGGCAGTGAACCGATTGCTCAGGGTGTCAAGGAACATGTGTTTCAAGTTTCATCAAGATATTTTAGTTTTAATTTACTCGTAACTCTTCAACAAACAGTGTCTGTAAACATAAATTGCCGTATGGAATGCGAGTTTGAAAATAAATTTCACTATTTTTACCAAAAGTATGCTAAAAAATATTATACTCTGTAGCAACATGTTGCAAGAGTATAAAAAACTTTTAACACATATGCAATAGAATTAAAGATTTATATATGAAATAAAGCTCTATTTTTTAAGGTTGGGAAAACTAAACATTACCTTAGGTTGATATAGCGTCAATTAATGAACATAAAAAATAAAAGTTTTAGCGGTAAGTAATATAAAATAATTAATTATATAATTAATTAAAAACATGCATGCAATATCTTTGAAAGCTTATATTCTTATTTTTTCTTACAATTTCACTTTAGGTTTTGGATTTCCCATCACTTTAATCATAAATCGGAAAAGAGTTTGTTCTAACATTTCAACATCCTTCAACTGCACAAGAAAAACTGGCGCAACGTTTGTTTTTGTTTCGTCATGTCCAGCAGCTGGAAATAGAGGTTAACAAAATTGTTATTGCATATGTACATACATTTTACATTGTAATATATTATACATTTATGCTTTCCGCACTAAATTGTGTATCAATATTTAAAAACATTTCAAAATTAATGCAAATTAATAGTTTTGTTCACAATACGGTTGTTTGTAACACGTAAAACTAATAGAGATATATATGGAATTATAATATATAAATGATCAGGATGACGAAAAGAGTTCAAAAACGGTCCGTCGGTCTGCAAAAGCTGAAACTTGAGTAAAAAATAAGATATCGGTACGAAACTTTGAACGTGTTTGTAGATAGCCGTAATCGGACCACTGCCACGCAGTTAAAACTCCATTAATCATAACAAGCAAAGGTGTAATTTGGCACAACGAATCCCATTAATGAATGGCACCTCTATACTAAAACTCATTGAGAAGTGGGCGTGGCCCAGCCTGAAATCGGATAATAAAAACGGTTACAAACTAATTAAAGTGCTATAAATCAATATCTAAATACGTCAGAGATAATAAATTTTCGACTCAGGATGATACAAGAGAGGATAATAGAAGCCGATGTAAAAATTTGTCAATGGACGTGGAACCGCCCAACCTAAGTAAAATCACATATCTTTGGACATATTCAATCAATTTTGTACATAACAATCTTATGACATTTCTATGTCACAGCGTGAAAATGGGCTAAATCAGAAGGCAACCACGCTTACTTTCCATATATTACAACTTTAAATTTTATCTGATCCTTTTACTTTCCAGTATACAAATCGAGCACCAATGAATATATTGGGATTCAACTTGTCACAAATAGTGCTTTTAATGATGCCATCTCAAGGCTAACGACTATAAAATTCGGTCCATAACTGTTCAAGCCCACAGATATCAAAGATGTAGACCCCAGTGCCTACAACAAACATTTTACCGAATAATATCATGATTTTTAAACATGTGGTTGATACCCTAATGAAACTCAGATAGCATCTTTTGCTGTTAATAATATGTAGTAACGCCAAAAATAGATAGAATCGGGTCAATACTATCCTAATATTCCATATACCTTATATAACTTTTTCAAACTTCCGGTTGACTTTATACCATATATATTAGTCAATATGTAAGATATATTAGCAAAATTAACTGGATATATTATAAGTTAATGCCGAAAATATGAGAAATTGGTTCACGAATTACTTAAACTCCGATATACTACATATAATGATTTTCGTTATTCTAACAAACCGTATGCCTAATACGGTATGTCGGTCAGTGTTTGATTTATATATTTATAAAAGTGCAGGAAAATATGTTCTCGATTGCATGTGAGTAATCTCAAAATTTTGTGCTATTAGCACAGACCTTTTTTGACACTTTGCACCTGAACTCAATATATTATATTAAATTTAGCCTTTTCGATTGAGTTTATGTCAGATATGTCTTATTTGAAAATGATTTTAATATAATTTTCGCGGACGGGAAGTAAAATATAGTTACAAAACTAATTTTGTCTATAACCTACAATATATGTAAGTTTATAAGATACAAATTTATTGGTAATCCATTCACGATTTCGTCGAACAATAAATTATTTCGCAACATTTTTAAAATAAAATTTTGCCAACACCTGAAGGCATTTCCCCGCCTTTGATTCTGGCAAGATGCAAAAGTATGAAATATTCGGATACACCCGAACTTAGCCTTTCCTTACTTGTTTCGGATTAAAATGCAACATTCCGCGAAAATAACAAACGAACCTGAAACGAGTAAGGAAGGGCTATGTTCAAAAAGACGAAATCTATTTCACCAACTTTCTTTACTTGTTTTCCTAACTTTACCAACAACTGGGGCCAACAAATGGGCTTCTACATCACATTTTGCTAAACGGAATACATCCACGAAATAATAATAATATTGAACCGGACCCGAAAAGGCCAAAATCATAATATTGAGTATTTTGAAATTAGGGGAACGGTATTTGCATACACAGAGAAAAGTGGAAGGGACAGTCCGAAGTTTATGTATCAAAGTTGCTAAATGCCAGCTGTTAAGATTTGCTTTAATAGATCCATAAATTTTAAGTTACAAAATTGCATATTCTATACATGGGATATAGGGAAAATAAAAAGCTTGTTTACGTTGGATAAACTGAAACTTTAGGGGGCGTTCGCAAAAAAAATAATCAACTTATGAAATAACGGACACCCTAATGTGCATACATAGGATCAGTTGTTACAAAATTGAAAGTGGCAGTTTGCTTCATCTTAACCTAAGATATTTTTGTCTGGATATCATAACATGAGTATGGTAGCCTAACAAGAAGTAAACAAACAATTAATGTCAAGTAACATGTTAAATCAGAGAACATCAATGAATAGAGAAGGAGCAAATGTTAAATGAAATTTTTTTTTGTACTAATTTGTAATTCCAGATGAGGGAACATCGAAAAATATAACTTCAAAAAAAAAAATACGAAACACAATAGGCGTAATGCTATAAATAAACACAACGAATATTCCTAAATGAAAAATCGTTGCGCATACCTATTTAGATTTATATTTTCAATTTCTATGATATGACAAATTTATAATTATGAAAACCATCCGAGTTCAACCCATTTTGTCATCTGAACAGTATCGAATAGTTTTAGGTGTACAAAAAAAAAATGTCACACGAGAGGCTCATAAAAGCCTCCGTTTTACTTATATTTTAAGTTAAAATGTATACAAATATACATCTATATGCTGCCTTACAAGACTTTTTTGTTGGTACAATAATGTCGAATTTTAAATCTTTTATAGCTGGAGAATCTGCACATTTCGAGGTACAATTTGTTGAAAAACCTGGATTAGTGGTTTGGTTGAAAGATAATAAGCCATTGGAAGATAAACTTGCTGACCGAGTCGTGCAAACAGAAGCAGCGATGAATTCATACCGACTGGACATTAAAAATTGCAGGTAATTTTCAACTAATTCGAAATAATAAAATTCGGTTGATAATGTTTAGTAGCAAAGAATCTGATTACGGATTATATATACATATATCTATATGTTCAAAGTATAACTGGGATTTTAATTTTTTTTAACTGCTTTTACATTTGTCTACATTAATGTTGTCGTCTTTAAAATAGTCCCCAATCGATATAATGCACTTATCCCAATCGTCAAAACACTTCTCAAACTAGATTTTTGGGATAGCGTTTAGCTCTTTCAGCGATGCGCTTTTAATGTCATCTATCTTGTAAAATGATGACCCTTTAAGATTCTCTCTTTTTTTGGGAAATAGGAAAAACTCATACGGAGCCATGTCTGGCGAAAATGGAGGCTGGGGCATCGTTGCAGTATGGTTTTTGGCCAGAAAGTGTGAGCTTTTAACAAACAAAAATCGCCAAGCTCATAAAAATTCGTCTTACTTAGCGGCTGCTACAGACAAAGTAAGCAAGGAATACAGCAAAATTTTATCATACTACAGGGGCATGTATATCAACATAATAAATCTCTCCAAACCTGCGATTTTTATATTCTGAGCAGGGTATATTAAGTTTTCCACGAAGTTTGTAACACCCAGAAGGAAACGTCGGAAACCCTAAAAAATATATATGAACATATAAATGATCAGCATGAAGAGCTGATTTAGCCATGTCCGTCTGTCTGTATACAATATATACGAACTAGTCCCTCAGTTTTCAAGCTATCGATCTGAAATTTTGCACATGTTCTTTCCTTCCTAAGAAGCTGATCATTTGTCGGAACGGCCGATATCAAAACGATAAGGCAACAATGTAATCATCGAAGAAACTGTTCAGATCAGATGACTATAGCATTAGCTGTCATACATACATACATCAAGTGCTTGTATTGAAAACTCTTTCATTTGACGAGGTATCTTCACGAAATTTGGCATGAACTATTATTTAAAACTATAATGCCATCTCTGAAGAAATTGTATAGATCGGGTGTATAACTGCCCTATTAACTGAACGATCGGTATAAAATACTTGCATGGAAAACTATTTTATTTAATGAGGTATCTTCACGAAATTCGGCACGAGTTATTTTTAAAGGCATCAATAATATAATATTCGGTTTACAAATGAAAACGATAATAATTTTTAATGTAAACTAAAAGCGGTGTTGGGGAATGTAACTCTAAACTAGTGACCGGCAGTACATTGCCCACTGGCCACTCTTATGTATAATTTTACTAGTAAAAATATTAATGAAACAAAAAAAGCACAGTGTTTTTAATTAAGAACAGCCAACAACTGACATATCAAACAAATAGCATATCTATATAAATTTTTCACAAAGAAAAATATCTTTCACATTTAGTATCAAATCGTTTATTTTGCTTACATACATACACACATACTCGTGTATGCGTATGCTTTCGTGCTCTGTCTTGCATGGATAATATAATCCGAAACTCATAGGCTTTTCATGTCTCGCACGAAAACGTTTGACATGGCAGTCAATGTGTTAAAGAGGTTTAATAAAGGTTTATATAAGAAATATCAGGTATTTGTTGCATGGTATAATTTTTTTTTGCTTAACAGTGCCAAATGTCAACGTATACTATATGTACATACATATTTTAGTAAGAATTCTCCGCAAGTGTTATTTAAACTTTAACTTCCGAATAAATTAATAAAAAAATTCTTTTATCCCCCAGAAGCTGAGTCGGATGAACGATCTGAATTAAGTACTTGTGTGAAATTCACAGTATGCCTTCACGATACTTGTCATGGATTATTTTCCAAGCCAACGCAAAAATCTTCGAACAAATTGTTCAGATATTCTATATGCTAGCCATACAAAATGACCGATAAAAATCAAGTTCTTTTATAGAAACTTCTTTATTTGTGAAGGGTATTATAGGCACCTTTCATTTTTAAAACATACATATGCCCGTGCGGAACAAAGCATTTATGCATTACATACAACCGTGCTTTTCCAATATATGCAATCAGTTTATTTGACGTTTGTGAATG